TATCTGTAATTCTATTATGCCATCTTAGCCCACACAGCATATTTTTGTAGAGTTTTTTTTTTCCATAAATACCTATGCCAGGGGTCCTGCTAATCAAATAAAATTGAAATTCATCTTCCCATTAAATTCAATTAGCCGCAATTTCTAAAGCCTAACAAAGATTTTAATTACTAAATTATAAAATTCTCCCTAGCCAAATTGGGGATAGAAAAAGTGCATCCCCGCATCTGAAAAACAAACCCATGAAAGGAAATTGTTGATCAAAAAAGATATCCAGGGGAAAATAACATTAGGGAGAGCGCTGGGGCCCTTATTCAGCGAGTCTGGGTGGAGAGTGACGTGTGCCAAGCGCTAGGCTCCTGGGCTAGAGGAAATGAACTTAGCTGAGGTTCTCTTTGTCTCTAAATGTCTGCCCTCAGAGTTATTACGCCGTAATTGACTAATTGACACCTTAATTTCATTTATGGGGCTCCTGTGTTCATAAAGCAACCTCTGGGTGGGGCAGTGGTCTTGAGCGGAAGCAGAGAAGTTGACATCCAGGACACCAGGTAGGGCCTTAGGCCTTCAGCTCTGTCTCTTGCAGATGACGATTATGTATTTGATTATGAAATGGTCAGGAAGAACACACTGACTTAGCAGAGGCTTAAGGAGCATCTTACAGTACTTGGATGTTTAAATCCCCCCTGATGCATGCTGATAGGTAATAATGATGCACGTTCAGCCTTACAATCTGCTACTGCAGACAGAAATGACCTCCTTCAGGGTCAGAGGAGTTTATTTTTAGGAAGAGAGTTTCTTAAATCCTCCAATGGAGGATAAAGTAAACACTGGCCCTGGGTCAAATCTCCCCTTTGCCAATTACTGTTCCCATTTTGTATGCACTCATTATTTCATGTATCCTACCAGGGTCCTTAAATCATTGCGTATTGTTTTTTATTTCTCTTTCTAACTTTGAATTTGTAGGAAATTATGGAAAGAAATAAACATAAAAATGCTCACGTTTCTCCTATCATTTTAATTATTTTCATATGATTTCTGAAAATTGTCTATTTTCACCTGGTTCCATTGATCGTGGCTCAGATCCTGTTTGGGCAGGTTGACCTTGATGAAATATGACCTACCCAATAACTTCTGCTCAGGAACTTTAGTGAGTTAACTACAACCCCTTCAACTAACGCCGGTTTTATTTGGCTCTGGCATTTGAGTCGATTCAGTCTACTTTCGACCTGCAATTAACCTAACTTTAATTTATTTCACACAAATTGTCTATACAATAATCATTCTTATAAAAATTGGCAATAGGTCTGTGCTTTTCAAGCCATATGCATTTTCATTAATAAGTTGGTAGTGGACAAGGTAACAACACGGTTTTGATTTGAATTCCCTAAACAAACTACAGTAAAAACTGTTTCACAAGCAGATTTTTTTTGTTGGTTTGTGGGGAAGGTTAATGTTGGGTTTAATGTCTGGGCTCCTTGCTGCCCTGCATCATGAGCCTTATAGTATTGTCACAACATAATAACAGCCTAATTCCCTGGCTGGAACTAAAACACATGCATCTTTTTATGCTGCCAGTGCATTAAAGAAGAAATAAAAAAAACATCAATAGAAAAAGGAAGAGCAGTGCAACTTTAAAAGCTCTATTATGAAAAATCAGGAAATCCTTAAAAAGGGTGTATTAGATATTTTCCAGGCACCTAGTGCTATTCTCCACAATACTTCTTCACACTTTCCATTGATGGCATTTGCAACCATTCTCAGGAGTTCACCAGGTTCCACCAGGTGTTTACCAGTTACTGCTGCTGCTAGTCTGGAGGAGCTGAGTGTGGGAGGTGTGGGGAGAAATGTTCTTTGGGGCGGGACTTAAACTCTGAGCATTTCTCAGACAGTTATGAATGAGCCAAAGCAACACTCTGGGTATATGTTGTATGCCGGCATACTTACAAACAGGTGCTACGTTTGCAACCAATAAAGAAGTTGTTGTAATACCTTAAAATTCTCCCACTGTCTTTGACTGTGCATTCCTGTTGATGGCCTCACAGCTTGAATAGCCGATCTGTTTTGGGATGAAGGGTGTGGAAATCACAGTGTTCTGCTGCATCCAGACTGGGAATGTCACCGTTTTGATTAACTGTCTCTAAATGTCAATGCACTGTAACTGTCCAGAAGTGGTCAGGTAATCACTAGTTGATTTAATCAGACCAAATCATACCACCAGCATTACTTTCAGTTTCAACCAACCAGTATGTCGTGGTGAGTGGATGGCAAAGGGTGAGATAAAGAGATGGTTTTACTGAGTCGCGTTGATGAGACAGCAAGGTGGACATAGAGAGTATACGAGGTGATGCACACTCCAAAAGATCCACAGCGGCTCGGCTTAGATTATGTTATCAAATAAGAAATAATATCATCTAACCTGGTCTTCCAACGTGACCTGCCAGGTGAAATAAAATGATTAAAATGGCAAAGGACCAGCACTTGATGTTTGCTCTTTTAGGCTCTTTTTGCTGTGAATGGAACTATTGCTGACTACATTGAGGAGAGTTTGTTGTGTAGTAGAGTAGTTTAGCAAAGAAAGGCTGCTAACAGGACAGCTTTGGGGTCTCAGGTCAGCTGTCAGGTTGGTTTCCCAGCCACCCCCTGCTCCTTACCAGTGGGCCACTAAAATAACAGCTCAGCACCCTCTGTAGACTACAAAGCTCCATCTGAAAAGGCACCTGCTGCTGTTATTCACTTTAGCCCCTTCGGCAGCTCAATCTGTCTATTTAAAGGACACGTAGGAGAGAAAGACTGACTGGGAAATGATGAATTATTTAAGCATGATGTCTAATTGTTTCAAGGCGGACATCTTGTTTTTAGAGAGGAAAGCTTGGGGGTGGATATGTGTGAGGAGGGGTGGTGGGGGGGTGGGGGGGCTCGCCGTGAAGAGGTCTGTGTACTGTGTCGCACTTGAAGTGGCCTCGTAAATATGACCAAACTGAAACTTTAATCTGCTTTTTCCCCGTCCAAGCTGGCTGGGTATTAAAGATAATCTTTTTTGTGTGTCATATGGTGGGAGATATAGATGGAGCTAATTTTTTAGAGACAAATCTGATATTTGTCAACTGGTTGAAAAAAACCTGGGGATTTTCTCCTAATCCTCCCTAGGATATGAAGGCGCGTTAACAGCAAAATGCAGATGGTGTTCTGTGCACGGAGAGTACCCAGCACTCGGCGCAGTGCATATGGAAAGGCGCAGCTATCCTCGCCAGGGCTCAGCACAACCTGCAGATAGCAAACTCCCCACCCCAACACCACCACATTCAATTAATGAGCCACTCATGAAAGCAAAGGCATGTTAGTTTACTCCAAAGCGCAAACTTTGCTAAATACATTTCTTGGTTGTTTCTCTTTACTTTTTTTTTTTTTTTTGTTGTTGTTTCCTTGCTGACATAACATCCTTCCAGGCTGTGCTCATCAAATATTCAGTTGCAACTCGATTCCAATAAGGAAAAGAAAACAAATTATAAATAAAATGGAGGCATAAATCTTTCAGGATCCTAATTCTAACTTTCCCTCAGAGTGTTTCTGTCTTTATTTTGTCACATTAAGCAGTTTTGCTTTCCGTTCCCACTGCTAGGCGTGGCTGAATTTAACACTGGTGGAAAGAGCCCTTTATTCTTCTGCTCTCTTGTTTTGGAACACTCTGCATTTTGTGGTGTCGCTGCTTTTATGCACAATTATCACTTGTGTAACTTCTGGTTTGGTTTTTATGAGAGATAGAACAATAAAATCTATGTGATGTTCCGCTTGGAGGTTGCAGAGGGACTGTTGTAACCCTGCACTTGCCCTGTCAAATATAGATCCGACGTTACTACAGCCAGTCACCGCAGTGATGCAAAGCGGCCCTCGTCGCCTTATCTTATCCAGTATTTAAAAGAGGATGTTTTCTCCGGTCGTTTTAGCACCAGAATGCAACATGGCAGACTCTTCGAGACGCATTCCACAACTGCTTTGTGGCTTTGCATTACATTTGACAATGTATCGATAGCCCCTCTGGTGCTGTGAGGTCAAACACACCTAGAGCCACAAAGGAAGCAAAACGAGCTCAAAATCTTACCTGAGGTGGACATATGGTGCACATAATGAGGCAGAGCACATCACAATATCGTGTTGAAGGGCTTAAGGATGTGCACTTCTAAACCTATTACTGAATATATAACTACGAGTATCAGGGTTGACAGAATGGGACAGAGCAGATTAATGTCAGGAGGACAGTGAAGACGCTGACGGCATAAAAGCTAAAACAGTTGCAGGGGGACAAACTATGCGACCTGCAAACTCTGGAGAAATCAAACTTCTGCTTCTGTACTCATAAATCACAAGTTTTTTACAATGTAGAATTAGCTTCATCTCGCTCCCTCCACATTGCTACCCCTGGTAAAGAGGTGAAAAATGTATCAAAATAAATGCATGTTTAGAATAGAAGAGAACAGAATAGGAATAATTTATTTTTTGTACTCAGTTCAAAAGTAACAGGCAAAACGCAGGCCTGCCGATTCACCTCTAGATAAAAAAGTGAAATCAAAAAGAAAAGATAGACTCTGTAATAAAAGCAAATTAACAAAAAAAAGTTAAAAAAGTGTGCTGTTAATACACAGGTATGTCCAAAGTGATAAACAATTCTGTCCAGCCACCGACTGCAGATCAAGACTGGCACAAATCTGATCCTTTTCATGACATATTTGATTCTTCCTTAATGGAAAGTGCTACATACAAAGTATTTTTCTTTTTATTTTAATTTCATAGTAAGTACAGCTGTAAACATACATAGATTCCTAAGTAAAAAAAAAGACTAGTGCTGAATTCTTCTATTAATTTTTTACTCTTTATACAGTAGACCAAATAAACTGAAAGAAGATTCTATGTTGAATTTATTGCTGAACAGATTTTTCTTTTAAATTACTAAATTATTTTACATTTCAAGTTGGAAAAGCTATTTGGTCCCCCGGAGCACTTTTACAACTTTGGGATTCTGGCCCATGTTGCAACAAGTTTGGCCACCACTGGCCTAACAGCTGCTGGGAGGAAGGATCTGCAGTAACACTCTGTTGTGCCCCCGAGGATGCAGCGGTCTGTCACTGGAGGAGCTCTCCAGTTTAGTAACAGCTGGGACACAACGTCCAACAGAGATGGTATTTTCTAACAAGAGTTAAGTTTGGTCTCCCACCACCTGCACTGGGTCAAGAGGGCATCTTAGGACAGAGCTGGCCTTCATGATAAGCTTATCTAGCCGCTTCCTCTCCGCTGTAAATAAGCTGCTGCTCAAATAAACTACATCACAGAAGATGGCTGATGAACCACAGAGTCAAAAAATGTCTGGAGCGCCCCAATGAACTCCGAGAGACCTCAGCCTCCTCAGCAGGTAGAGTCTGTATTGCTTTAAATGTAAGCAATTATACCATAGACTGCAATTTGTTGTTTTATTTTTTTATTATTTTTTTTTATTATTTTTTTTTTTGTGATTGATGTATGTTTTTTACTCTGTGGTATTACACTGGGAAAACTAAACTAGGTTTAGGTGCTTTGTCATATTTACACCCCAGGTGAGCCAGAAGTCACTAATTACTGATTAAATCAGTGAGTTCAACTTAAAAAAAAATAAATAAATAAAACCAAACGGATTCAGTTCTGTTTTGTTACCTAGTGGAACATTTAAGAGTAATTTTGTAAAGATAAGAACAAAAGCAACAAAAGTATTTTCTAACATCTGTATTTTTTTCCACTGCATAAATGTGCACAGATATGTTAGATTTTTCTGAATTGATCAGTATAAAAAAGACACAAAATAAAGTCAAAATTATGGGTTTTACACATTCCTATCCAGTATAACAGTGGAAATGGAGGGTGATGTGTGTCATTGTGCTTATTTCACAAAATAAATGAAAATTGGCAACAAAAAAACTCAAGAGTTTTTATCACTCTTCCACCTCAATATTTACATGCAACAGGCACGGAAGCTGTAACAGTCTGCCGTGTGCATGTGTTTGTTTTGCACAAGATGAAGCTGCTGTCTATTGATTAGCCCCGCTACAGAAAAAATGACATTATACGCACTATGAAATTCAGCATTTTTTTAACCTTCAGCGATGCTTGTCATTTGCTTGTAAAATAAATATATAAATATACACCAGGAGGAAGACAAGGGGGGAGAGAAAAAAAAATCACTAAAGCTCTTTTGCTGTAATTGGCTGAATAGCAAGGGCAGCAGAAAATTTACAGGCAGACAACAGTGTGAAGGGGACTCGGTCACAATGCAAAATAAAATAAAAAAAAACTAAGCCCTCAGCACCAGCAAGGGAGCGAGTGAACCAGTAAGCGCGGGGAAGGGGAAAGGAAGCGTCTAGGTGGCTGTCGGGCATATCTTAACTACCACAATGCACTTGTCTCCCCCCTGGCTTTGCTGGTAAGCTGCAGATCAGAGTCCATTTTCTGGACAAGTAAAGTAAATAACCTGAGTGAGCGTGCAGAAGACAGTGACAGGGAAAGAGAAATCCCCCAAAGTCACAGTGGTGACACTCTACTAAATCCAATCAAACTGAGGAGAGAGAGGGAGAGGAAGAAGGAGGGAGGAAGAGATCCTCTTTGGTTCCTTTGAGTGTGTGTGTGTGCATGTGTGTGTGTGTCCAACAGCATTGATGCAATAACACCTCATTCAGTGTTTAGCCCTTCTCAAAGGACAGGCAGGGATAACACTTTAAACCCTGTGGCTTTATCTCCTGCAGATTTTCCATAAAATGCCAAGCCAGGGAGCCGGGGCCATGTGACAACCATGTAGGTCAGGGCAGACGGGGGGTAGAGAGAGTGGGAGGTGGAGGGAGAGGTGGCGGGTGGGGGAGGATTGGAGTTTTCTAATGGAACTGTTGAAAATAGCAAGCGGTAACCAGATTAGAACAATTAGCATTCTGTCCTCAAGACGATGCAGATCGGAGAAAGATGGAGAATTTAAACTCGAAAACAGAACGGAGAAAACTTGCAAGTGACAGGAAATGCACGAGTTATAAGTGGAAAAACAAATTAAAGAGAAGTTATGGTAAAAGTATATAGTTCCATACAAAAAAAAAATATTCACCCCTGTGAAACTTCTTTTCATTTCTTCATGTTACAGCAGTATGATTCACTTGAATTTTATATGACAGGCCAATAGCAGAAAGAAAAATAGCTGATTTAAACAATAATAAATCTAAATATTGATGTGCAAATGTACTCAGAGCCTCACTTAGTACACTTTATAGAACCGCCTTTCCACTGCCATTACAGCTGCAGGTGTTTTGGAGTTTTATTAGGTTTGCACATGCAAAGACTGGGAGCATCTGTGAACTTGCAAATGCTTGCAATTGGATTTAGGTCTCAACTTTGACTAGGCCATTTTAACACATAGATCCTTTGATGAAAGCCATTTAATTGCAGCTCTTGGTGCAATTAAATGGTTTTATGTTTAGGGTTGTTGTGGTAGTGGAAGATCACAATATTCTGTTGCAGTGTTTATAACAGGTTTTTTTCTAACAGCATTGCAACATATTTATCTGTCTTCACAACAGCTCTTGCTTCACAGCCCCTGCTCAAGAAACAGGGCACATACACGTTGTGCATCCCAAATGACTATAGCCAAACTACAAAATGGTCTTGGTTGTTTTAATTGCCACTCACCCATGAAGGCCTGATTTGCAGAAACTGAGAGTCGTATTGTCAGGAGACTCTCCTACCTGAGAATCTGGTTCTGCAGTTCCTCCAGATTTACCACTGGCCTCTTCACTGGTTCTCTGATTAGTTTTCTCCCAGCCAGGCCTCTAACTTTATGTGGATATTCATGTCTTGGCAGAACTGAGCTTGGTGAGATGTTTAAAATTTGAGATTTTGTTTTATAAGCTAAGCCTGCTCTCAACCTCATCCCAACTTGAATAAAAAGCAATTAAAAAAGGGAATCAGGGTAACAAAGCACTGAATGCAAAGGCATGCCGCACTTTTCAGATTTTTATTTGTAAATCATTTACAAACATGTTTGCCAGTTTTTCTTCTGTCATCATGGAATTCCTTGTCCGAATCTTTCACATGAAATCCAAATAAAGCTCCTTGAAGTTTGTGGTTGAAACGTGACGAAGGGTAAATATGTTCCATAGTATGATCACTTTTCCCCACTATGCTGAAGTTTCTGAAGGCTGTTATTGTTTTAGATAGATCTAAGATCTGTTTGTTAATAATCAATAAGACACCTAAGTACAGATGCAGCAAAGATAAACCTGCTTCTTACAGTCTTATCTGTAAGTTTGACTGTGTCGTTAATGGAAGAAACCTTCTCCTCCATAGCATTAGTCAATAATTAAACAGATGTACAACCAATGAACTGAAATATATTCCTTAAGTGTCACAATTTATTTTATCTGTGGGTAAAGTCTATCTCTGTGCACCCAGCTGATGATAAACTAAATTAATGGTGATCACTGAGCATAACTAGATCTGTTGTGTAACTACTTAGCCCACTTATCGCTAACTGTGCAAAACACCTGCCTCATTATATATTTTTAATTTTTTTTTTACCAACACAGTGTGAGACAAAGGAGTAAAAACTTTACAGTGTTAGGAAGTATCGTGACCTTATAGCAAGTCCACAAATTCAATACCGTCTCCATCTTGCCTCCAAATCTTAGGTTTCTATGAAAGCGTTTTCTGGCGAACGAGTTGATCGTTATCCATGACATTTTCAGAATACAGAAATATGTCAATATTCTGAAGCTCGATGCGCTTCTATAATTGAGCTAAGGGGCCCTTAGTTTCCATATGCTGAGGGCACAGAGAATCCCAGTGGAATACCAGTGACGCTTGATTGAATACAAAAGATGGACGGGATTAGGGCTGGTGTTGCTGAGTGACCTTGACTTATTTTATGACCCTCACCCTCAGTTAATCACACGATTCTACTCTGATCAATAAAACTCAGGTACCAAAAGATTTTTGCCCAAATGGTGAGTGCGTTTCCTCCCAGGCATCTGCATTTCTATACAGCTTCCGACCAGCTCTGTGCAACCTGGCCTCAATCAAACTCAAAGGCACCATCCCTGTGAAAACAGTATTGATCAAAACCCAGCATCTATCCATGCATAAGAGCTTGTTTCCATTGATTTTTCCTATTTGTGCTAGGAAAAAAAAAACTATAATAGAGTTGATATGAATTACAGGGTATTTTGCCTCAGTTCATAAACACAAACCAGATAATGCCAACCGTTTCCACAGAAACGGGGTAACAGTTTTTGGTCTGTTTTGCAGCAATCGATCATTTTAATTTATTTAAAGGATTTACACAGAGCCGGCCTGCAGACGCCACAAGCGAGAGCAACTGGGCGGTCCACGGCGTAAACATGCGTGCATCTGAAAATGTTTGCAGATGACCAGCAACGTTTCATTCCATTTCGAATAAATTACATCTTGCCTCGCCACTAATGTGTAGCTGCATGCTGGATAATACTTGTTGTTGTTGTCTAAATGCAGGTTGCCTCCATGTTTTTATTTTCGCAAAACTCTATCAGCACCTTAAATTACTGTAATAAGACGCGTAAAACGCATCAAAAAATTGCTTTGCAAAAGTTGCAGCCCACCTCTGCATCTCTTTAAACTCTCCCAGTTGCCAGGTTATGTGAAAAGATTTGCTGTCTCTAATTCCCAAGCTCAAGGCTGATCAGTGTTATTCAACTGACACTTCCCCTAAAGCCTTCTGACATTAAGCCTTTATAAGACAGTTATGGGTATTACATTGGTCTTGCAACATAAACTACTTTTTATTCCTTTACTATTGTGTTTAAATATAACAGCTACAGCAACAGATTAAAGTCAATAGGCTACCTCCGACCTTGTTAACAGGCTATTATTGCATTGTTATCCTTGGAGTGTCTTCTGTAGGTTTTAAGCTCGGGGGCCTTAATATTATTGAAGCAGCTAAGGTGCAGCGTAACTGTGGAATATACTAGTAATGCCTGTTTAAATTTATTTCAAAGTCCCTCCTCATTCATATCATTCTGGGCCAGGAGAACTCATAATAATAAAGCAATATGAGCAAACTCGCTCTTATTATTCAGAGGGAAAATTGTAGAGAAAATCCAACTAACACAACCCCTTGAACCAAAACAGAGTATTGTAAAGCGGGTAAAGAGATTAAAGTCCATGCCATGCTAAATCGCAGGCTTACCTTGTCACTAAAGCTTATTTATGCTGACCCCTCAAAACTATGTGCTGTAAATAAATAAAATGAGCTTTGAATTGTATCCCGCTTTATTGCAATGATTTTACTCCATGTTCGGGTTCGACACACCCAAAGATAAAGTTATTCACTGCAACCTGGATGCACTGGTTACAAATTGAGATATAAGTATT